ATGTTGAATGTTGAAAACGAATGTTGAATGTTGAAAACGAATGTTGAATATTGAAAATCGAATGTTGAAAACGAATGTTGAATGTTGAAAACAAATATTGAAAGTTGAAAATCGAATGTTGAATATTGAAAATCGAATGTTGAAAACGAATGTTGAATGTTGAAAATGAATGTTAAAAGTTGAAAATCGAATGTTGAAAACGAATGTTGAATGTTGAAAACGAATGTTGAATATTGAAAATCGAATGTTGAAAAACGAATGTTGAATGTTGAAAACGAATGTTGAATATTGAAAATCGAATGTTGAAAACGAATATTGAATGTTGCAAACGAATGTTAAATGTTGAAAACGAATGTTGAATGTTGAAAACTAATGTTGAAAGTTGAAAATTGAATGTTGAAAACGAATGTTGAATGTTGAAAACGAACGTTGAATGTTGAAAACGAATGTTGAATGTTGAAAACGAATGTTGAATGTTGAAAACGAATGTTGAAAGTTGAAAATCGAATGTTGAAAAAAAAAAAAAAATGAAAAAAAAATTGAAAAAAAGTTTAACAAAAAAAAAGAATTTTGAATGTTGAATGTTGAAATCGTATGTTGAATGTTGAAAATGAATGAAAACCCCCCCACCCCCCCCCACCCCTCCACCCCCCAAAAAAAATTAAAAAAATTTGAATGTTGAATGTTGAATGTTGAATATTGAACAAACTTGACATCCGTTTAAATTGAATGAATTCTTACCTTGTTTACTTTTTTTTTTCCATTTCTCTCCGCTTCGTTAGTACCCAATTTCCGGTGGCGATGATACACAGTAATAAAGGAAGACGTTACCGCAGGTTATCTGTCGAACAAATCAATCGTGTGTCCGATTCGCACTTTGTTCGTAGTGATCGTTTTATGTTATAAAAGAAAATAAGAGAGTTTTTTTTTTTGCAAAAGGAAATCGAGAGACAAAATCATGAGTCGGTAACATTAAAAAAAAACACACACAAGGCACATCTATACACAAATAAACGAAAAAAGAGCGACACGACCTTGCAGAAAAAAAAAACAGAAAAAAGGGGGGATATTCAGGTGGTACCGTTTTGGTAAACAATAACAGTCTCTTGAAAATTCCGACGAACAACATAAGAATTTAAAAAATAAATGCACGTTGTTATTTCTTCATTTGTTATTTGAAATAAAATCGACTGCATGCGGTGCACTCGATATGGTTCAATGTGAACCTGTCTTCACATGATTTTCTTTTTTCCTCATTCACCTAGTAAGAAATAAAAACCCCAGAAGAAACAAGAAACGAATAGGAGAGGACTACGTTTTGAAATATAATAAATATAAAACTTGCCATTATTAGCTGCTATTACTATATCCTCTTTGTAATCCACACTGAAATCGAATATATCTGAATACACATTTGATTTTAATCCAAAGTTTGAAACAACACAATCACTGATAACGACATCACTTTCTTCGTTTTTTGCAATTAAGAATATACTTTCATCGTCTTTATCCATTTTGAAACACAAAACGAATGTAAAGGTATTCAAGGAAATTTTTAGAGTAGTCCTTGGGCACGCTAAAATCATGATACGCATACGCTGTGTCTTTATCTTCATGTAGCAATACATGTTGTTTACCTTCAGCTGTACTTTCTTTTTGTCTATTGTTTAAGGTTCATGTGGACCCTTTGGCTAAAATGGCTGCGTTTTCACCTCAAAATTTACTCTGAGCACAGACAAACCTGTGCATCTGGAAAAATTTTAAGGCATAGCATGCCCTAGATAAATAAAATTCAAATACATTGTATGTTTTAGAAAATTTAAAACTCAACTGGATTTTGCAGTGCACTTTTTTTCGTCCCTGCAGAAGATGATAAAATTTGAGTTTGACTTGATATGGTCCACTCAGGTACACAGTTTAAATCACCAAATATTGTCAGGTATCTATTGTCCATCTATTGTCCATGTCAATTAATAAAGTTCACTTCAATTATTACCAGTGGGGAAGTTCTCAAACCTCTTTCACAACTTAGTTTATTTTGGCATCTACAGGAGGATTGGAAAAAAGTGCACTGCAAAATCCTGTAAAGTTTTCAATTTTCTAAAACATAAAATATATTTGAATTTTATTTATCTAGGGCATGCTATGCCTTAAAACTTTTCCAGATACACAGGTTTGTCTGTACTCAGAGTAAATTTTGAGGTGAAAATGCAGCCATTTTAGCCAAAGGGTCCACATGAACCTTAAGTTGAGATACTGTTTAAAGGGACCAACATGGAGGATACATTTTAATGTAAAGAAAGTTTATCCACAAAATAGATTTTAATGTAAAGAAAGTTTATCCACAAAATAAATTTTAATGTAAAGAAAGTTTATCCACAAAATAAATTTTCAGACCTGTCCAATATTTTACAGAATGGACTGTTATCGGCTTATATCCTTTACTTAATTCAAAGGATAAATTGTGATAGTAAGATGCCAGTTTATGAATTGTAAAACTATATTACCATAAGTAATAAAGGACATACATCACCATGGTAAACTCCTGTAAAGAATCTGTTCAACCCGGCCCACCGGTTATGTTGCTCATTACAAATAAGATTTGATGATATGTGTCGTCTTCGGTGACAAGTAATGAACGAGAACTAGAGAACATTGATCGGGTTACGGTAATTAAAACGCAATTGTTGTGATTTGTGATACATACATCGATATGGTCATGATTATAAATAAATATTTACAAAACTTTGAATTTTTCGAAATACTAATGATTTACTAACATAGGAATAGATTATAACTTAGATTTATTTGGCAATCCATTTGGAATTTTGGGTCTTTAATGTTCTTCGACTTCGCATTTTATTTGGCCTGTGTTGACTCTTTGATTCGAGCGTCACTGATGAGTCCTTTGAAGACAAAACGCGCGTATGGCGTACACATTTTAAGCCTGGTATCTTTGATGAGTTTATTTGCATATAACGGTCAACCAACTCATGACACGTGTAATGTCCGAATAGATAACTTTAATCTACCATTCAGAAGCATTAATTCTTAAAGTTCTTCGCAGTAATCCTCTGTTAATTAAATCTTGATAGGAAACGCAAACTCAAGACTATTGTATAGCATGTGCAGGTTCTTCAGACATACCGCTACATAAAAACAGGAATCTCAAAATCAGATCTTCGTAATAAAGATTAATAAAGTTAAGTTTAGATCTCAACCAGCTCCCAATGTCGATTTCTAAGTGTTAAGCAAGATATGAAGCACACTCTGCTTTATTTTTGTATCCTTTACATCCAAACGACATGTTTTCGCGGTCTCAGATCTTTAGATACCAGAAAAGTCGTCTGCGACTCTTTTCACAATAAATCTTACGATTAAATTGATCGTGAATTATACTGAAATGTGTATGACTTACGAGTGTTTTTACTCTTAAGATTTTTTTTTGTGAAAAGAGTCACTGACCTGTAAGTTTACCGATTGTGTGCTATTCCCAATGTTGTTATTATTACAGAGTGCATATGCGCCATGTTGATGCATGCATATCAGGAGATGCTTACCTGACGACGAATCCGGTCTTGCTTCTTTTGGAGTGATGCGATTACCTGGATTTGTATCTTCTTGATAGATTTATGAGATTTGAGTTCAAATGGATAGTTGTCATCAACAATCTCCAAACTCTGAATTATTCAGTGAAATAAAATTATCTATAGTATATAACGGATCGTGGAGAGACACGAAAGTGCTTTCATCTCTTTTTTTAGAAATTGTTGTTTCACCATTTTCTACATAAGGAAATGCCCGTACCAAGTCAGGAATATGACAGTTGTTTTCCATTCGTTCGATGTGTTTTAGGTTTTGATTTTGCCATTTGATAAAGGACTTTCCGTATTGAATTTTCCTTGCAGTTCGGTATTTAGTTATTTTACTTTTTGCATTTTACCTTAAATGAATATAGAAACATGTCAGTGAGAAGAGGAACACAGCAGGACATTAGGAATGTCAAGTGCATGTCTTTTTAAAAACACGTTCTAATTTTTGTTCATTGTTTCAGTTTCTCTTCGATTTATTAGTATTGAATATCCCCTTTGGTATCTTTTGTCCCTTTTTATATATATGCTGTTATTTTTTTGTATCGAATAACTATTTTTATGAATACGACCCTGAGTGCATAATGAGAACATTTTGAGACTGTTGCATGCGAAGAGGAACATGCATTGCTTGTACTCGAACAAATCCTTAGGTAACGGCTGGAAGGTTTGACTAATGATTGATTGTTGGTTGCTTAACGTCCGGTGGCAAATATTTCATGCATAATCAGGACGACTTGGAAGTTTGAACTGTCTCTTTGAAAAATATCATGCTGGAAAGGAGCAGAGATTTTCATTTCAAAAGGCCACCTATGGACCTATAAAAGACTTGTTGCAAAGAATTTATAACGCACAGTGTTTCATTCTACGCGGAATCCAATTTACCGAACAGTTGCGTATGTATACATCCCACAGGTCAAATACACGACGCTTTAAAGGGGAGTCGTACCTCTCAGACGGAGAAACAGGGAATACTTTATACACCATGACAACTTCTAGGTCTAGTTGATATAAGATGAATTTGCCTTGTCGGTTAGTCGTTTAGGCACTTATCTAATGTCTACTCTTATGTAGGTTTTCAGTATTTCAGATTTTCTAATGAAAATATGGCAAAATACCAGTCTGAAGTAACAAAATGAAGCTTTATTCTTTGCTAAAAAATGAATTCTCCTATTTGACGATATATATATATATATGCTGAAAATCCGTTAATATATACGTAGTAATTGTATTGATATGAGTGCATTTAAAATGCCTGGTATCATTGATGACGTTTTAAAAATCCAAACCATAATTTTTTTGTTTTTTTTTCCATGGTTGTAACATATATCCGGAGATTGAGAAATATATTAAGATACAGTAGATAATTTTTAACGGTATATACTAAAGGGAAAAAATTACAACACAATATAAAAATTAGATTTTGTATTAATAATGAACGTTTGTACATTGTACATAAATTATAACAGCACATCTCTTCAATACAATCTATCGATTATTTTTTAATCAAAATGCAATGCACAAATCTATATACTAAAAAATGGTGCCTACAAACCATCATGTTACACTCAAATCAACAATAAACTTTTTATGGTTTCACAAGTATTGAGAAATTAAAGTGCTTATCAATTACAAAATAATTTTAAATAAGAAACGGTATATGATTTCACTATAAATATATACTGGTTATTGTGCGCCTTTTATCATACCATTGTTGTAATAGGTGTCATCACAGGTATAACAGTGAATTTCATCTTTTTTAAAATTCGATTTCATTCTATACTCTGCAGTAAATTACAAAAATAACTAAAATACATGGAACATATTTTTTATAAGATATAATTTTAATATCAGTTAACCCATGACACACCATTATTTTTACTTTTTTATCGGAAATAATAATAAAATATGTTTCTGAAATAATAATAAAATATGTTTCTGAAATAATAATAAAATATATGTCTGAAATAATGTATGATGAAAACAGAGTTATGATTTATTTCTAATTATAAAACAAACTATTGAAAACAGATAAAATAAAACCAAAACTAAACTAAAATGCCATTTCAAAAGATAAAATACCAATAACATAAAATACACAACCTCTGAATCAAATGTTTCTTTTATGTGGATTTCAACAATTAATTACTTGTATTTGGAAACATTGTTTTGACATTTCCACATCAAGTGATGTATTTTTCTAGGTTGTTATTTTATTCTTCCTCCCTGAAAACTACACAATTATAAAAAGGTAACATATTGTTAAAAAAACGTTAAAATGTCTCTAACAACGCTATGTCTTTTTGTATGTATGCAAGAAGATGTGTATATTTTTAATAAGATAATATAAAGCAATAGCTTGCATTGCACAGGGCTTCATTTTATGTTAATGTTTAGCTTAATAGTATATTGCAATTTTAACAAAATTAGTATAAAAACATCGATGTGTAGTTGTATGTGTATTGCTTTAAAAATTTTATACCAGAAATATCTCAAAATATTGCAACAAATACAGAATAATAAAAATTACACATGTGTTAAGATAAACATCCTACTGGCAAGGAATGTAAATCTGGTCAAGAAATATTTCTTGCCATCATACTTTGGTGTGTCTATGTTCCTCTGACCTACATGTACATATTTCATAAATGGTTACGAAATCTGAAATCATTATTTTTCTATCATTTATATTTTTTCTAAATAACACTGCATATGATGCTTGATTTTTCTTGGAAAAAAAGGTATTAAAATAAATATCTGTTGCACTATTTTACGATATTTAATGATATAACATTTTTCATTTTAAGATTTAAACACATAGACATGAATATATACAGAAAACCGTAATTTTAAAAACAAATCACTTTAATAAATCGAAACTATGAAAAATTGTAAACATTAAATAACATCTATTTACTGATTCACTGATTCATAATTTTTTTGAAGCACTAAACAATCAAAAGAAAATATCCATAAAATATTTTTAAAAAAATCAACATATTAATAAAGGTAGCAACAGAATAATCTTTCATCATTTAAGCATTTTAACATTATTTATAAAAAAAAAATTACAAAACAGTGTTTTCATAATGTTTGAAAAAAATGCATATATTTAATTACGCTGATGTTTAACGTAAAGTATAGAAAAATATTGGGAAATATTTCGTGGAAGACAAGTAATTTAACATTTGAGGCACTTTTGTATAACTATATTCATATTCATTTGTAGGCACAATTTAAAAAATAATGTTATCTTATCTTAAATAACAATATAAACACCTTAGACTTTGTACGAAACAAATATGGAATAATAAAATAATCTATTTATTCATACAGTTCAAAAGGAATATGTAGAGTAAAAACAAACAAGTATTCTACTATTTTCTACAATGCATTTCTTGAATAAGAAATTTCTTTAATGCAACACTGGACGGCTCACAGTCCGATTCGTAGCATTCATAAAACCTATCTAGTAATTGAATAGTATTTGAACTGTTTACACACCATTTCTCACTCTCTTGTCTTTAAGTCACTAAATCGCCTCTTATCACAGTTAAAAATAGTTCAACGATCTCCATACCTGCCTGTGTCATATACACGGCTAGAAATGCAATCACCATTTTTGTCAATAATATCACATATTTTAATACGTCATCAAAATTCTCGATCCCATCCTGTGACATCATCAGGTGGTGGTTCATCTTCTTCCTCTGGATAATCATCGAAGTTCGTTGTGTCTACAGGATTTTTTATCTGTTAAGATGAGAAATTTACAACAATAACCTTATGCATAGTATTTTGATGGTTGGTTATGATGTAGAACAATAATTTTATGCACTAATTGATTCATATTTGCCAGGATTCGTGATATGATTTGAGAATATTACATACAAAAAGGGGATGGGTCGATTCCACTGCTGGTGGAGTTTTTATTCCCCAAGGGTATCACCAGCTCAGTAGTCAGCACTTCTGTGTTGACATGAATTATCATTGATATGGTCATAATTATAAATTAACTGTTTACAAAACTTTGAATTTTCTAAATACTAAGGCTTTACCACCTCAGGAATAGATTACCTAAGCTGTATTTGGCAAAACTTTTAGGAATTTTTGGTCCTCAATGCTCTTCAACTTCGTACTTAATTTGGCTTTTTTAACTTTTTTTTATTCGAGCGTCACTAATGAGTCTTTTGTAGACAAAACGCGCGTCTGGCACAAATACAAAATTTCAATCCTGGTATCTATGATGAGTTTATTTATGACGTACAATTGTTCATTCTTTGTACTCTCCAATGGTTGTATTAGGTTTGTTGATTGTCAAATGTTTTGGCCTCAAGCATGACCGAAGAGACATTAAGTATCGAAATGCGCAACTGGTGCAGTATATTATGGTACCGTTAATGTTATTTTGCCTTCTATCATGAATATATATATAATTTCATACGGTTGGACGTAGTGAACTAGAGTGAAATCATTTTCTCCTGTCTTTTTCATGATGTGTAGGTGTCGTACCTATTGTACGGTCAGTTTCCCGCGGAAATGGGGTTTTCGGTCATTCAGCACGACAGCAACAAAGCGATCGGTACTAAATTTAATTGGTAAATTTTTATCTAATTAGTCCCCGTTTTTTATTATTAATAATATAAGACTGATAGGACTGGAGGGTTATTTTTCATTGTGGTATAATGTTGTGTCTAATGCTAGTTTACATTTGTATATATGCAAAAGTGTTCGTTGATTGTTCATGTGTAACATATTTAATAAACTCAGAAGCGGCATTGTCGTGTAGCTATGCACTTTAATTATGAGTTTTTGTATTCGTCATACTTTAACAACAGTTTATTTCCTTTATCATGTTTTCAAAGCATTCATCACCATAGGGTGACGTACATGAGACTAGTGTTTTAGAGTGAAGTTCTTTTAATACAGAATGAAGGTTGTTATAAGAGAACAAACGTGATTACAATGCTTTTTGATTTAAAAGAGAGCACAAATCCCTACACCTTTTTATCACTGTTGCAGGCTAGTCTCGTACAAAAACGGTGTTGTGATATCATTCCGAAGATATTTAACTAGATTACGATTTCAGTTACTATTATACTCTGAAATGCTTATTTATCTGGAGGGTCTTTTTTCAAAATTGCAGGCTTAGAAAACATAGTTTTTACCATTTGACTATGGAGAACCAATGTGTCAAGCATACAACGAAACTCTACATAGAAATAATTACTTGAAGGATTTTTTTACGTCCTGAAGACGGTTTAGATTGTGATAACCTTAACCTAATGGTGACAAACAGAAATGAAATGTTTTTTTATAACCAACCTCTGGAATAAACGGTGATTTAGTCGTTCTTTTCCGTAATCCTTCCCAGTTAAATCCATCAAACCATTTGTGTTTCTGTATTTCTCGCATACCACCTCGTCCAAATCCCAACCTTTCTGACGGGTTTTCCCTGTAATGATATTTTCTTCACTTGTAACTAAAGTAAATTTAAAGCATATTCTTTTTCTTTTCATGTATACATATATTGCCTGTTCAATTTGAATCTGTCGATAAGTAAATTTAGCAAAATATTTGATTTATATTTTATATATACCTTTCAAATCAAAAAGATCGAATTGATCGGTTGATGTCAATTGCAAAATATGTATAAACAAAGTGTACAACATGTATAATAGATTTTGGTAAAATATAATAATTACGTAAAGATTTGAATATTATGATTACATTGCATGCCATTATACGAATTATACGAATACGGCTGGTTTGTACAATGTTAATGTGCAACTGATTTTTTTATGGTGAATATGATCAAGGATAATAGCACTACTAATATCACTGAATTAAACAATTATATAAATATTTTACCTGCATAACTTTTTGATGAGATTTTGAGCATTCTTCGTTATTTTTCTAGGAAAATCAATAGCATCTATCCCTTTCAGTATTATATTGTAAGTTTTCATTGGATCTTGTCCTGAGAACGGTGGACTGAAATTCAAATAAGTCAGTACGTTTAGATAAAACATGAATAGAAAAAATATTCAGAATTACTGATGCCAATACTTATGAACCCTCTTAGTACGAATGTGCACATATAATAATAAATATACTATATAAATAAAGGCAACAGTAGTATACCGCTGTTCGAAATTCATAAATCGATTGAGAAAAAAACAAATCCGGGTTACAAACTAAAACTGAGGAAAACACATCAAATATAAGAGGAGAACTACGACACAACAGAAACACAGCATGTAACACACACAGAAACGAACTATAATATAACAATGGCCATTTTCCTGACTTGGTACTGGACATTTTAAGAAAACAAATGGTGGGTTGAACCTGGTTTTGTGGCTAGCCAAACCTCCCGCTTTTATGGCAATGTTAAATATAACATTAAAATGACAACATTACATAAATCATCCTGTATGAGTTGGGAACATTTATGATTTTGAGAGCATGGGCATGAAAATCCTTTGAATTATGGCATTCTGTTTGACTTTTATTCATATTGTTCAGGAAATAAGGAGGCCCCGGTTTAATTTACCGCATCACAAAAATTATAAAAGTATTCCCTTTTTCATTTTAATGCAAATTTTCACAAAAACAACCAAAATCGACCAAGTTTTCACTAGTAAGTGCCTTCTTATAAACCATTGCATATATCAATTAAGCACTAACCAAAATTTTACATAAATGATAAGAAACAGTGCATTTTGTCCAAGAAATTATTATATAATTTGCGAGCTATATCAAACCTGCTGTTAAAAAAGAAATTAGTTCAACTTATTTCTTAAACAAAGACAAATGTAATATCGATATAACTTTCATGTTATCTTGAATTTATAGTTAATCATAATTGAATTAATAAACGGGAACAGTAATAACCATCAATATGTACATGCATGCTTTGATTGTATTATTCTATTGTCGACTCAATGTCTAGTGGGTAAGACCATTATTTTTTGTGTAAGTTTTTCATGCAGTAAAACATGATTTATGAAAATGATTGGAAGATGTTTGGAGTGGATATTGGCAACAATCGAAATAACATTAACTTTACAATCGCGAAAAGAGTGGAAGCTTCATTTAAAAGAAATTTTGACACTTATGTAAAAACTTACCTTCCTGTGAGTAATTCATACATGAGAATCCCTAAAGACCAAAAATCCGACGAGATATCATGTCCTTTATTAAGAATTATTTCTGGAGCCACATATTCTGGTGTTCCGCAGAATGTCCACGTCTTTCTACCCAATCCTACCTTTTTAGCGAAACCAAAATCAACCTGCAAATTTGTATTTAAAACGTGAAATGCTTTTTCTATCAAACATGTATGCGTAATCATATTGTCCTAGTTAGAAAGTAGTAAGTAAAATAACAAAAATACCGAACTCCAAGGAAAATTCTAAACGGAAAGTCCCTTATCAAATGGCAAAATTAAAAGCTCATACACATCAAACGAATTGAAAACAACTGTCATATTCCTGACTTGGTACAGGCATTTCCTTATGTAGAAAACGGTGGATTAAACCAGGTTTATAGCTATCTAAACCTCTCACTTGTATGACAGTCGTATAGAGCAACTTTATGAAAATATTTGTTATATGATTCCGGCTAAATGGTTAAGGTTCATAGAAACGTTTTGTGATAGAACGTTTATCTTTTCTTTTTTCAATTTAACAATTGATGAGTATAACGGGTTAAAGTTAAACATAATGTTTAACAAAGAATATAATTAAAATCAAAATCAGAAAAAAAGTGAGAAATGTTATTAACAACATTGTCTATCGATCGTTGTTATATTACCAGGTCAGTACCACTGCTGTAATTGTGCATAATATATAGATGGAGGTTCCTCAGGCAATGTTGATCTTAGACGATCTAATTTGTTCTGTTTATACCCGTCTGGTTTTATGTTCTCACAAGTGTTTTAAATATTTAGTTTTCCAAACTTATTCTGGGCTAAATACGCTGAACGTTAAGACTTGACATACGTTAATATGTTCGATGTTTTGAAATATATTTCTATTCATGGAATGAAGCAGACCAACCACTCTCATTCAAATGAACCATTATGTTTCCCATGGGTCAAAACTTTAGATATGTGTATAATTTCAAGTTCATTATCATGAGGGAATATAAGAAATGTTATAGACTGTACAATCAGTTGGCAATACTACAGCAATAACCGGAACTCACCAGTTTGACATAACCGTTGGTGTCTAACAAGAGGTTTTCTGGTTTGAGATCTCTATATACAACACCTTTGTTATGAAGATAGGCTAAAGCTTCTATCACACAGCCTGTATAAAATCTAGTTGTTCCATCATCAAATGAGCCTCTGTAAAATGTAAACAATATGATTTAAATTGCACATTATGTCTTTAAATTTCCAGTTCATAAAAATATGTAGATGTAATTGTGCTAAGGTAGTTCCTTCATCTAGATGAATTGTTAAAAGTCACTGATCTATCGAAATGCCAGTAGTTCAGAAAAAACCAAGAGAAACTGATGAAGGCCAGTAGCCGAAATGTCTTATCAATGGTTAATTGAATACATTAATGTAAAGCATGTTTCCTTTCGAATTTATAGTAAAAAAATATCATGAACAAACCAAATTAAAAAAAACTAGAGGCTCTCAAGAGCCTGTGTCGCTCACCTGACTCTACTTTGGTTTTAGAAATCATGTAAAGATAGATAAAAATCATAACAGATACCCAAATAATGATTGAGGCCAAATTTAAAATTTTTTGATTAATATTGGTCCCGTTATTTAATAAAATATCCTGGTGGCCATCTTGAACAGTAAATCGGCAACAAAGTAGCAACACTTGGTCAGCACTTCATGAGGAACATTCATGCCATGTTTGGTTTCATTCCATTCAGTGGTACTCTAAAAGAAGACATTTGTATGTATTTCCCATAGGGTCCTATGTTAAACTAAGCCCCCCCCCCCCCCCCCCTATCGGCCATCTTGGATGATGGATCGACTGCAAAGTAACAAGACTTGGTCAGCAACTCATAAGGAACATTCATGCCATGTTTGGTTCAATTCCATTCAGTGGTTCTCTAAAAGAAGACAATTGTATGTATTTCCCATAGGGTCCTATGTTAAACTAAGTCCCCCGCTGTCGGCCATCTTGGATGATGGATCGGCTGCAAAGTAACAACACTTGGTCAACATCTCATAAGGAACATTCATGCCATGTTTGGTTCCATTCCATTTATTAGTTCTCTAAAAGAAGATATTTTTATGTATTTCCCATAGGGTCCTATGTAAAACTAAGTCCCCCGCTGGCGGCCATCTTGGATGATGGATCGGCTACAAAGTAACAACACTTGGTCAGCATCTCATAAGGAAGATTCATGCCATGTTTGGTTTCATTCCATTCAGTGGTTCACTAAAAGAAGACATTTGTATGTATTTCCCATAGGTCCTTTGTTAAACTAAGTCCCCTGCTGTCGGCCATCTTGGATGATGGACCGACTGCAAAGTAACAACACTTGGTCAGCACCTCATAAGGAACATTAATGCCATGTTTGGTTTCATTCCATTCAGTGGTTCTCTAAAAGAAGACATTTGTATGTATTTCCCATAGGGTCCTATGTTAAACTAAGTCCTCCGCTGGCAGCCATCTTGGATGATGGATCGGCTACAAAGTAACAACACTTGGTCAGCACCTCATAAGGAACATTCATGCCATGATTGGTTTCATTCCATTCAGTGGTTCTCTAAAAGAAGACATTTGTATGTATTTCCCATAGGGTCCTATGTTAAACTAAGTCCCCCGCTGGCGGCCATCTTGGATGATGGACCGACTGCAAAGTAACAAAACTTGGTCAGCATCTCATAAGGAACATTCATGCCATGTTTGGTTCCATTCCATTCAGTGGTTCTCTAAAAGAAGACATTTTTATGTATTTCCCATAGGGTCCTATGTTAAACTAAGTCCCCTGCTGGCGGCCATCTTGAATGATGGATCGGCTACAAAGTAACAACACTTGGTCAGCACCTCATAAGGAACATTCATGCCATGTTTGGTTTCATTCCATTCAGTGGTTCACTAAAAGAAGACATTTGTATGTATTTCCCATAGGTCCTTTGTTAAACTAAGTCCCCTGCTGTCGGCCATCTTGGATGATGGACCGACTGCAAAGTAACAACACTTGGTCAGCACCTCATAAGGAACATTAATGCCATGTTTGGTTTCATTCCATTCAGTAGTTCTCTAAAAGAAGACATTTGTATGTATTTCCCGTAGGGTCCTATGTTAAACTAAGTCCTCCGCTGGCAGCCATCTTGGATGATGGATCGGCTACAAAGTAACAACACTTGGTCAGCACCTCATAAGGAACATTCATGCCATGATTGGTTTCATTCCATTCAGTGGTTCTCTAAAAGAAGACATTTGTATGTATTTCCCATAGGGTCCTATGTTAAACTAAGTCCCCCGCTGGCGGCCATCTTGGATGATGGACCGACTGCAAAGTAACAACACTTGATCAGCATCTCATAAGGAACATTCATGCCATGTTTGGTTCCATTCCATTCAGTGGTTCTCTAAAAGAAGACATTTTTATGTATTTCCCATAGGGTCCTATGTTAAACTAAGTCCCCCGCTGGCGGCCATCTTGGATGATGGATCGGCTACAAAGTAACAACACTTGGTCAGCACCTCATAAGGAACATTCATGCCATGTTTGGTTTCATTCCATTCAGTGGTTCTCTAAAAGAAGACATTTGTATGTATTTCCCATAGGGTCCTATGTTAAACTAAGTTCCCTGATGGCGGCCATCTTGGATGATGGATCGGCTACAAAGTAACAACACATGATCAGCACCTCATAAGAAACATTCATGCCATGTTTGGTTTTATTCCATTCAGTGGTTCTCTAAAAGAAGTCATTTGTATGCATTTCCCATAGGGTCCTATGTTAAACTAAGTCCCCCGCTGGCGGCCATCTTGGATAATGGATCGGCTACAAAGTAACAACACTTGGTGAGCACCTCATAAGGAACATTCATGCCATGTTTGGTTTCATTCCATTCAGTGGTTCTCTAAAAGAAGTCATTTGTATGCATTTCCCATAGGGTCCTATGTTAAACTAAGTCCCCCGCTGGCGGCCATCTTGGATGATGGATCGGCTACAAAGTAACAACACTTGGTCAGCACCTCATAAGGAACATTCAAGCCATGTTTGGTTTCATTCCATTCAGTGGTTCTCTAGAAGAAGTTCAAAATGTAAAAAGTTAACGCCGACGACGGACGACGACGGACGACGCCGGACGACGACGGACGACGGACGCCAAGTGATGAGAAAAGCTCACTTGGCCCTTCGGGCCAGGTGAGCTAAAAAGGAACGCAAGAAGGAAAGATCTTTACCGCTAAATTTTATCATTTCAACCGTGTTGAAAATATAGTATTTTATGGAAAAAAAATCCGCGTCTTTAATTTATTGCAGGAAACTTTAGATTAATATTGTTTTTGGCGTTTTTCTTATCAAAGCTCGATTGATCAATATTTGAATACACTGTAGAAACAATACAGTAGCACAAAGTATTCATTAAAAGTCGGTTAACTTATCATCTAAAATTGAAAGTGTTTCAAATGTTTGTGAGATATGAACATCGGTAAAAAGTAAAATAACAAAATACCGAACTCCAAGGAAAATTCAAAACAGAAAGTCCTTTAAAAAATGGCAAAATCAAAAGCTCAATTTTAATTTTAAATTATAGCAAACATACCATGTCATATACAAATGCAAATATTCTTTGCTATTTAATGAAATTAATATTACATTCATGATGTCATAAGTCAAAATTCTACTTTTCCTAAAAAAAAAAAAACAACAAAAAGAAATTAATCTGACCAACAACCTCGGTGTTTGTCCTGTTTGCCCCGCAAATCAATAATATATTGGCTCTGGGAAGAACAGATGTAAAAACTCATCAACGATACCAGGCTTATGACTTGTTACGCCATACGTGTGTGTTGTCTTCGTAAGACTCATCAGTGGCGTTTGAATAAAAAAAATGAAAGGCCAAATCAAACACGAGGTTGAAGAGCATTGTAAACAAAAACATCCGAAAAATTGAATCAAATTCAACTAAGGAAATATATGCATGAAGGGGGAACATAGATTAGGGCTATTCCATTAAAATGTATATGGGAGGGTAGGAAGGGAAGTTTAATTATTGAATGTGGGTCATGGGTCTTTTCTCAGTATGCATCTATTACCATTATGCAAAATTATCTAAAAAATGGTTCTTGGTTGTAGGGATATTTTGAAAGTCCCTTCCTACCCTCCCACATACATTTTAATGGAATAGCCCTTATTGGTAATGTAAAAAACCCCGTTAATCATCTTTCATTTCCTATACTCTTCGTTTCAGCTTTTGTTTTCTTTATGTAGTTAAGTTATAGTGAAAATTTGTTTCTGTACAATGTTCAATGCTTTTCATGATATGCAATCAGTGATACATTCTTTAAATTGTTTGCTTTCAGATGGTTTATAACTCAGAAAAGCAACAATACTTTTATCCTTTTACCCGTAGAAAAAGTATTAATGAATTTTTAAACAATAAATGTTTAACAAATTTGTTACTGTTGCTGAACATTTGATGATGTTTCTATGCAGCAAGTAAAAGTTCCGTTCTTTTTGCATTTTTTATACATAATGTATAGTTCATTCCAGCATTTAAGAGAATGGCGATAATAGATCTTTTGAAACATTATTAAATAAAATGATTTATTTTGCTTTAAAGTGTATGTGCAAATATCAAGTAAAAGATCAAATGCAAACACTTCTATAAGGTAAATGAAATATTGGATCGCTCCCAATAACATGACGTGTCATGTAACCAGAAGTCAAAACAAACTTGGACAAACATACTCAATTCATACATAAAATATGTCTGTGGTTAAAATGCATTTTAACTCTAACACAGAACGCATGTACTTGATAAAATTTCACCTTCAATCAAGCTGAGAGAATAATTACATATTTCGCATAAGTACATAGATGTTGGATTTACCTGCAAAACAGTTAATGTAATCATAGGGTTTCTTTTTATAAAAATGGAAAACTAGACCTTGCCAGAATATTTCTTCTTGGAAATTATACATAAACATATGTGATATAATAAACACACCATACGTTTTCCGCAAATACAAAAGGGACATAGAAGAATTCATCTATGACACCAGTCTGACTAAAGCTAGCCCATGCTATCCACTTCCGATTGTGGATAGTCGGTGCTAGCTTTAATCAGACAGCTGTGGTACAGTTCTTTCAATAACGATCGACGAAATTATGATGGGGTTAATAGAATATTCCCAAAAAATACTTCTTAGATCAATACACTTTATAGATAGGACGACCATATATGTTATTGAACAGAGTTGTTCCAAAAATGCTAAGAATTTCGAATTGACCATTCGGTAAAAGTTTGTATGACTGGACTCTTGAATATCGGTTTAATTCAAAATAAAATCTATAATTTACTTGAACTGTATGCACTTTTCATGATAATAGCGAACATGTTGCTGAAATAACTTAATATAATTTAAAAAAAATAGCACATTGGTTTGGTTTTCAAACTAAAGATTAAATTCCCTTTCACATACGATTCATTTGTAGATGTTGGGTGGGAATATCCAGGGCCTTTCAAAGAAAACAAATGAAAATAAATAAACGTTTATCAAAGTAGTAAAAGTACAATAGTCGAAAACTAGAAAAACAACAAATAAGTCAAGACAAAGATATATAATCACAACTTGAAAAAGCAACTGAAACCTCAGAATAATCTTAATTACGAAAAATAGAGAATTGTTTTTCTTTGTACCCTTTTGATATTTTATGTCGAATATATGTACGGAGGTATAATTTAATTGATATGAATATTCTATATATTTGCTTCATATCATGATGCAGATACTTCCACGAAAAAAGCCTAGTACATTTATATTATCTTTTAATACCGGCAACGAAGCTGAATAAATTATATAATAAACAGTATAAAACAGGCGATCTTTTATACTTACTTGTCTCTTAAAACTGTCCACAACTCTCCTCCCAGACAAACTTCTAACAACATATACAAATACTTTCTGTCTTTGAAAGTCCTGTACAATCTACAATTGAAATATATCTTAGTCTTGTGTGAACACCTTAGTGATCTAGTAATAGCTCGCTTCAAGTGGGGAAGATCTTGAATGGGTTCGATCCCCGGTTTTGTAAACCCTTGTAAACCCAAAGACGACAAAATTGGTATCTTTGTTTCTCAGCTTTGTGTTTTTACGAAACGCACATTTGGCTTTTGAATTTATAAGTCTGTGATCTTAAATGAGTTTTTTCCTTTGACGTTAAGTTTATCAATCCACCACTATCAACAATGAAAAATACAAATTTTGAAGGAAGCTTATTTTCAAAAGACACCCAATTAAATGAGAAAATTTTATTATTATTTTTGAACTGCCTGGGTGGTCTCGTTGTAGCGTGTTCGCCTCAAGTGCGTGAGGTCGTGGGTTCGAACCCGGCATGATCAAACCAAAGATGTTAAAATAGGTATTTGTTGCTTCTACGCTAAGCACGCGGCATTCAGGACTAAGAGCAAAGACTGGTCGACTCGGAGTCAGAATAATGTGTCCGGGTAAGGTGACATGTCTTCCTGCGGACTGTTACTTTGTGAACTAGCACTTTAAAAAATCCGGCTCAGCATTTCGGTCTAGTACAAAGCAGAGTTAATCAATTAACATGTTTTCGTCTTGAAAATGCATATAAATTTGCCGCTGGACGTTAAGCAGCCATCTATCATCATCAATATTATTATGGGTTCGACGTGTTAAACATACTAGTAACATAAGTATTACTTCAAAGAAACTACACCTTATTTTCCTTTTAATAGTTGCATTCCAAGTCAGGAATATGACAGAAAAGGAAGATAAACGTTCTATCATAAAACGTTACTATGAACCTTAACAAGTTAGCCGGAATCATATAACAAATATTTTCATAAAGTTACTCCATACAAGTCAGAGGTTTAGCTAGCTATTAAACCAGGTTTAATACACCATTTTCTAAATAAGGAAATGCATGTACCAAGTCAGGAATATGACATGTGTTTTCCATTCGTTTGATGTGTTTGAGCTTTTAATTTTGCCATTTGATAAGGGACTTTCCATTTTGAATTTTCCTTGGAGTTCAGTATTTTTGTTATTTTACTTTTTTTATAGAAGCTTCAATAATTCCATCTATTTGTAGACCAAAACATGAGCTCATGTCTTTTTAATAATTTTATGAAAACAAATATTATGATTTACTGACTGGTCTTTAATTTCTATCTATTGATATTGATCAAATACTTTTAATAATAAAAAAAGAAGAATTCCTACGTCAACATCCTTATTTTTTATTACAATTGTATTTTTGGCTACCACTGATGTAAAAACCATGTCAATGAAAGAAAAGTTCACGTGTCTTTTTATCCCAATGTCTGTTTTGTCGATTAATTATAGTTAATCTTAGAATCTTAGAAACTATTTCAATTGTGCTGAACCATTCAAATATATATAAAAAGGAAAAAAAGTTATAAAAAGTTAGGTTCTTTGCCAACTTTACATCACTTGTAGTTGCTCTATTGCAAACATATGACATTTATTTTTCTATTGTAATCTATTAGTTTGTCATGATGAAACTTTTTCACTGAATTGCATTTCTATCACTTTGTAACAGTAGTGGGATTGTAATAAATGATTGCATATTATTGGGGGTGTAAAACATGGCTTCTGATATTTGTATTTGATTTAAAAAAAATAATTAAGGTACCGTTATCCACCTCTGTTTGCAAAATGTTGTGAAAAATCAACTAACTAAGACGACTGGAGATTACAGTGTTATGTAATGTTTCTCTAATGAATTACTACTCTTTGGTCTACATAAGGAAATGCCAGTACCAAGTCAGCAATATGACAGTTTTTTTCCCATTTGTTTTATGTGTTTGACCTTTTGACTTTGCCATCTGATAAGGGACTTTCTGTTTTAAATTTTCCTTGGAGTTTGGTATTTTTGTTATCTTACTTTTTTTCCGATACCTCTTCCAGTTGGTATTAGCTGCAGAATGGTTACATTTACCCGTATTGGTAATGATTTATTACAAACATTCTGTAAAATTTTTAGCTTATCAATTTTGTATTTCTCTCACAAAAAAGATTTTAAGGTTAATAAGCCAAAGTTGACCTTGTACTGCCATCATTTTTTAATCCCTTTTATGTTACTTATTTAACCCAGAAGAGCGCATCAAATGCGTCAAAGTCAGTACCTTTAACTTGATTACTTTTTGTAATTGTAATTTCTATGTCCTGTATTTTCTGTTTTATTATTTTTAATCCATATACCAAATATGAATTTCTTCTTAAAGATAAAACTTTCGGGCAAGGTCATGAAATGTATTCAGCATTTAAATACATTTTCAATGGTGAATTTTGTGGGTAGAAAAAGGCAATTATAAAATAATGCTTAATACTATACATCCTTGGGTCAGTGTTCTATAACACAATAAGAAATGAGAAACATCGAAGTAATCTGAGCTAAGGTATTGGCCTATACATTCATGTCCAAAGTAAAGAACCTCTGCCTGTGGTTGTGTTAATGGCAAAACTTTAAAAGTCTATCTTAAACTTATTCAGTAATTTTCTAGATTCAGGCGATTTAAAGCTTGACAATTGAATAGACATAAACAGTCATGTCTAGTGGAGAATAAACTGCTCACTATTACGGTGAACATTAGTGCACTCGATTCTTAGCGGAGTTTCGCGGTTTGTGTTCTTCGTTCCCTTTGTGTTGTTTTGTTGCTGTAACATTTGCATTAGCCCTAAATATACATTAACTATTTTTGACATTAATTTAAATATTCAAATTCAAGACACCAGAAGCTATTGAATGTACTTACCTTACTATAAAGTCTGACCTCGATTCTGACATAATTTTCTTTTCATTCATGATATGTTCTTGTTGACGTGTTTCTACTATATGATGTTTCTTTAAAATTTTCAAGGCAAATGTTCTACTACTGTCATTGTTAACTTGAACCTAAAAATAGAAACCAAAATATACTCTATCTGATACTTACTAACATCAACAACGATAACATCAGATAACTTTACATGGGTTGAAAGTATTAACAAAAATACCGAACCCAAGGGTAAATTCGAAAGGATAAAGTCCACAAAACCTGACAAAATCAAACGCACGACTATATCAACCAGCGGAAAGAATTAAAAACAACCGTCATATTCCCCACTTTGTACAGGCACTTTCCGAAGAAAATGGTGGGTTAAACATATTGTCTCTTTTGTTTCAAATATAAACGCAGTAGGTGGATATAACACTTCGTAAATTTCGTGCATTCGAAGTGTTTTTTCTGTATCAGAAACGCTCAAACAAAAACATGCAATTGAAAGCTAGGAATGATTTTTATACGTAAGCCGATGTTCAGAACAAACATCAAACAGCAGGATTGAATCAAAGATTGGAATCAAAACATATACAATTGAATTTAACCTGGAATGAGTAAAAGTTACGTATAAAACGGAAGCCGCTCTTACAATGCATGCATAACTCGCCAAACGATTTAAAATCTTGCTTAATTCATAAATATACCAAGAACGTAACATACAAACTACAGTACAGGAATAGAATCAAGGAAAAAGAAAAAAATAAACTTTGTAACCCCCTCTGAAAATAACAATCAATAAATCGACGAAATGTCAGTGACACCCTGCCAAATACAAAAGAACTTTCCCAACCAAATGCTGAAACAATGAAAAACCGTTATAGAATAAAGCAATACAAAATAACATGTGTATTCACTTGTAAAAATATGCACGTTAGATCCAAATAGATAATTTATTCTAAATGCATGTCAGCTATCAATTTCAATAAGAATAGTTTAGCGAGACTGCCATGAACATGTAAGCAGATATACCAACGGGAATGAGTGATAATGTAAAGTTTAATGAATGTTAAGTTCTAGCTAATTAACAGTTCTCTTCTTATTACTAAACACAAATCAACCATTCAGTCTTTGATGCTGAGATAAGACCAGACTGCACTTGATGAAGTGGGTGCATCTTTGTTTCTGAACGATTAGATTCAAAGTGGAGGTCTCCCCTCAGATATACAGATAATATTTAAATCCAAGAGAAAGTGCACAAACAAAGGTTACAAAGACGTCAAGTACAACTGAACGTTAAATGAAATTTTCTGGATACCAAAAGTTAAAGTTTGGTGCAATAAGGACGCTGGACTATGTAATGATGTCATATTAGACCCATACATTAAGATATCAACAACAGCAAAGACATTTTTTTAGCTTACATTGATTTTTTTTTATATAGAAACAATTATAACACAAAATTCGTTTGGTAGTCACCGTGTCCATGTGACTTGCTATATGAATTCTGACACTCAGTTAATTTATATCAAACAAATGCCATAACTGATCATGGCGGAGAGTAGAAGTTGTTTGTTGAACTTACTTTCAATGCAAACTTTATATGACGTTGAACTGTACAATATCAGAAAAAATGTTAAAAAAATATGCCAAACACCAACAGATAACATATGATAAGCAAATGAATTGAAATGTACAAGACATTCTTTTTTAATACATATTTTTCTTGGCAACTTGTAATACATTCTTGAATTTAATAGAACAAAAGAAAAACAAAATATTATTTTGACATCTGCAAGGAATTTGTTGAATATAATTCTCAATATATTTGTTTTAAATAAATGAAAGCAACTGCAAAAATTTTGGATCTTTTCATACTAATTGCACCTGGCACTTATAACGAGATAAATTTTAGGTGTTTTCAGTTTAAACTGAAAACCGAATTGTTTAAGTGTTTTAAATGGGAAAATTTATAGAACAAAAAAGTAAGCTTAAATAATCAATTATAACAGTGTTTTTCTGTACTTAATAGACTAGGAAAATTAAGTTTTTTTTAACGCAGGTAAACTTGACATACATAAGTAGGTGAGGGACATGCAACAATCATGAACATTAGTCTTCATTAAAGAAAACCTTGTCTCGAGTTGATCAATAAGAAAAACAATGTAGTACAGTGATAGGTTCGTATTTTTATCCCTTGATTTTTTCAATACAACTACTAGTTAATATTACACTTACCAGTTCAACTCTTCCAAAGCCACCAACACCAAGTGTTGCAACTATACTGAGATCGCTCAATTTCAACTTTGTAAACTCGGCATCAAATCTGAAATATTACACAGAAAATGATATGAAACAGTTTATTAAGTTTAACGTGACAAAAGCCATCGAAAATTATTTTTCTCCAAATAAACTATTGGCTAGATGTTTAATTCATACAAACATGGACGTTCTGGTCCACAAGTAAACGAAAAATAAAACAATATCGTTTCGAGTTAATATCTTCATTACCCGAAAACTGAGTGTTAGACATGTTTAGTTTTTTTGAATGATGTAAAACTATGTAAAAACCAACAACTGACAAACAATCGGAAAGAATTTTGATTGAATTGTTTTGACTAGGATCATAAAATACTATGACGTAAAATACGTCATTACATGTACTAAACAACATTCTTTTACTTACGATGTGTGCTCTTCGTCATCTTCGTATACTTTCTTAAGGACATCGAAGTCGCTTATTAATTGACAGTAAGACCTACAAAGGAGACAATACTAATAACTATGGAATAATAATACAACATCAGTAAGAGAGTTTAAGGGAACAATACTAACACTACAACGCTCCTACGGGGAACATCTCTTCGGTTTGTAATTAGATATAAGAAGATGTGGTATGATTGCCAATGAGACAACTCTCCATCCAAGTCACAATTTGTAAAAGTAAACCATTATAGGTCAAAGTACGGCCTTCAACACGGAACCTTGGCTCACACCGAACAGCAAGCTGTAAAGGGCTCCAAAAATTATTAGTGTAAAACAATTCAAACAGGAAAACCAACGGTCTAATCTTTATAAAAAACGAGAAACGAGAAACACTTATAAACTTCACCAACAAACGACAACCACTGAACATCAGGTTCCTGACTGACTACAATAAAACTGAAGGAACACGTTTAAGATAAATCATCATTCCTAGTTAATTCATCAATTAATCATACGTTTTGGACTTTGACATATTCATTTTATCATTACTTTGATCACTTGCAAAAGCTCAAAGCAATGTTGCTGGTGTTTAACTTGGAGACTATGAATATTCCTATTGTACTCATTTCATTCATCGTGAAAGACCAAGTTTTGAACAGCCAAATAAAAGTACACATAAACGGGAAGAATTAAAAAGAAAGTATTAACAGAAAAACTGCAGAAGATAAATTTAGAAACTCACGGTAGAACATGCTAATGTGCATCTTCTTGATGTGCATTTTTAACGACCACGACGAACCAAAAAATATCAAAAACATGTTTATTTCAAACATATGAAGTTTAATTGCACACAAGATTAACAAACATTAAAGCACCACAACACCACAGTGGGAAAATTATTTTATCTTTCCCTTTAAATTCTACGACAAGGTACAAAACGCTTAATTCGTATGCAATCAAACACAGTTAATCTAAAAATCCGTGAAATTAACCATGTTCAAAAGATATGATGTACCACTGTGACTAACTATGTTTTGGATTAAAATTGTGAACATTTTCAAATTATTACTTTGCAGAGCAAGGCAAGCCGTGGGGGAATCTTACCATGTTTATATAACGCATATGGCTTTTGTGATTATCATAGTTTAGAACAAAAAAAAAAGAAAAAAGAAAACTCCGGCATAAGTTGACTCCACGTGTAACTTCAAGGAAAGTATTTTTGGATGTGTTCTAGTATAATGGATAATTTTATAAGTTTAGACACCATCTTCTAGTTTTCAAGTATTTCATCTAAATATGCTTTCTAAATAATCGAGATTTAATTAAGCCCATAAAATAGATCAAGCTACAGACATCATCCGCTAATTATCTACATCCGCATATCAATAGAAAATGTATATGATAAATTGCTTCATGCAAGTTCCAGTTTTAGGACAATACAAAAACAAGTTTAGCTACTTGAAACAACGACCACTAATTATCGTCATAATTGTATCAATATAGAATATATATCTTAAATTGCTTTCTGCAAGTTCCAGTTTTAAGACAACACTAGTTAAGCTATCAGAGACAACGACAGCTAATTAATGCAATAAGTATATCACTATAAAGTAAATATTACTGTTTATTATCTAATAATAATTGACAATTAACAATGAATAGAATACTTACTCTCTGTCTATGACTAGACATTCCACACCGGCGGGATCTGCGACAACCACATTGGCAGTTCGTATATCTTCACTGTCAAAATTAAAAAGAAAAAGGTTTAGGTGAGATAGGAACTTGAAAAATCGACGATTCTAAAGTTCGCCACAATTAACCTCAAATTCATTGTTTATAAAAAAAAAGGGGGGGGTTTAATGGAAACAGTCATATGAAGACGGATTTATATAGGAGAACTGCTCTTTTTTCCTAATCCATAATATTGAAATACTTATATATTTCGTCTTTATTTACTCTTGTAGCTATACATAACGATTCTTTAATAAAATTTGTTTACACAAAACAGTGATGAATATTCTTTCTATCAATAATTTGACTGGATTAGCACGATTCAAAAGTTGTTAAAAATAGATTTGGGAGCGTGGTGTACAAGATATAATATTCTACATTTGTTCCGTTGGTTCATATAGTCTGACGTTTAGTTTTGTCAGTTTTTATGAACTCCCCCCTTTTTGAGTTTACGTTGGAGTTCAATATTTTTTGTTTATACTTATTTTTCGTAACCTTCACGTCAGTATTATTTCTGCAACAAACGCTAAATCTACAAATATTTAACTCATTGAAGTCGACGCGTCTGCACCATTTTGCACAATAAAAGTGAAAAAAACGGGGGTTTTGAACGCAAATCCAAAAATATCACGACACTCAAATTTCTCCGTTCAGATTATAAAAACATGTTTTTGTTTGTTTAATTAGATTCCTGACATACAACATGGACAGCATAAGAGTTTTATGTACAGTCAGAAAAAATGGCTTATTATTGAGTGCAGATGACAACAGAGCAAAACAACAACAGTTTAATACCGTGCTTCAAAGTAAATCACCATGAAAAACCGTGTAGATAATCATCTTATAAGAGTAAGCTTTGATAGTTCTTTTATTTTCATGTTTTGATGTTTTCTAATGAGATTGGTTTGCAGATGATTGCAGTTGTCACTTTAAGTGAGAAGTATTATTTAAGCAATCATCATAAATTAGTTTGTAGGCCAAACTTTATTGCTCATTAGTTTGCACCTAATTATCATGGGATATTTTATGCACCTAATTACAACTACCAATTGTACTATAATGTGGTCTGATACAAGGAAACAAGAAAAATTCTTATCTCACATATGCAACTAATTGTATTATTATGTGGCCTGATACAAGGAAACAAGAACCATTTCTTATCTCATGTATGCAACAAAATGACTGATTACTTTTTTAATTTTTAGTTTGCACTTTACGCATCCTATCTATTCATACAACTTTATCTGTCAGTAATTTCTCCAGAATGTACTTCAAAAACCCTTTTCATTATCAATTACTTTTTTTAGTGGGGGAGAAGTTGATGTCCAAGTGTTTCCGTTGTGCCACTCAGTACAAAACTGGAGATTTTTTTTTAAATCCATTTCATTTAGAAATACAGATATTTATATTTTTCACAAACAGTACACAAAAAGAGACAAATAAACTCATCATAGATACTAGGATTAAATTTTGTGTTTACGCCAGACGCGCGTTTCGTCTACAAAAGACTCATCAGTGACGCTCAAATCCAAAAAAAGTTAAAAAAGGCCAAATAAAGTACGAGGTTGAAGAGCATTGAGGACCAAAATAACTAAAAGTTTTGCCAAATACAGCTAAGGTAATCTATTCCTGAGGTAGAAAAACCTTAGTATTTCAAAAATTCAGAAGTTTTGTAAACAGTTAATTTATAAATATGACCATATCAATGATAATTCATGTCAGCACAGAAGTGCTGACTACTGGGCTGGTGATACCCTCGGGGAATTAAAACTCCACCAGCAGTGGCATCGACCCAGTGGCTGTAAATAAACCACTATTGATATATTGTTTGTACGATGCAGTTTTTTGTATAAAAACGAATGTGTATTTCCAACGTTCCGTTACGACAAGGAACATCGTTGTATTTCCAACGTTCCGTTACAACAAGGAACATCGTTGTATTTCCAACGTTCCGTTACGACAAGGAACATCGTTGTATTTCCAACGTTCCGTAACGACAAGGAAAATCGTTGTATTTCCAACGTTCCGTTACGACAAGAAACATCGTTGTATTTCCAACGTTCCGTTACGACAAGGAACAGCGTGCTGAACAATAACTTTTTCTGTACTAAAATTTTACATGAAAAGTTGATGCATGATTCAACTAGTTAAATTATCGGTTTAAACCATGTTTGAGCTGTGTTTGTCTTTATATTTTCTATATTGTATTGCTTAATATACTAATCATTGAACTGATTTTGCCCATAATAAAGCCTTTATCTGAAATTAAATAATTTATCTTTATCTGTACTTATATTCAACTTTTCAAAAGTACAAAAAAGTAGATTTGTTATACTTTCCGTATGTTATGATATTATACGTAGAAATCAGAGCGAGATTTACTTTAAATGAGTAAATGACATATTGCCTCGTTATTTGTTTACATCTTAAGCTAGATACTTTTTTCTTCATCAAAGTGATAAGAAACATATAGGATAAGTACGTAAACCCTCGATGTAAACAAACGTTTTAACTTCGCACATTTTAACAGGAATAACACATGTCAAAAGACTTCATTTGAAAATATCTTAATGTGAAATATGGTCTTAGCTAGAATGAAATCAAAACGCTTTTCAAGACACAATCATTTGTCAAATATGTTTTAAACAATTATATTTCATTTCAAACGAAAATAATACGTTTGCTGATCGAGTTCTTAAAGGAAGTTAATGTTTGTATCAGCAAACGAACATGTACATTCTGAAGGTTTTCTCGACATATTACACATTCAAAACATCAAAATATTCTACCAACTTGCCTAAAAAGTGGTGGTGACTTTCCTAAACGGATATACAAAAAAAAAAAACTTTACTTTTTACATTTTTAGCAAAACGGTTACAATGTAAAAATGCTGGAGAAAAATTATTTATCTTACTCTTATGGCATTATCGTCCCCAACGAGATTATTTGCCTGTAGATGAAACTAGTTCAAACATGATGAAGACTATTTTCATAAAGTGTATTCGCGAAAAGATTTATCATAGTGGCGTTTAAAAAGAGCAATGTAAAGATCAAAGAACAGCAACTGAATTTCATTCAATCAAGATTCCCGAAACTAGCCCCAAACTCGTGACAAATATAAAAAAATAGATTTCAGGCGAAAAAGGCACTTTGACAATTTCCCACGAATTTAAGATACCATTAACTGTAGATGTACAAGTTTAAACATAAAATGTTGCACTTTTCCATGACCATTTTCTCAAGGTATATAATTTATGACAGCAACATATGTTGCACATTTTCTAATAAAAAAGAGAATAAAATGTCACCTATCTGTATAATTAACAATTTTAGGCATCTAATCAAGCTTTAATTATCTGACTCAAATAGATTCCAAAGTAAGAGTACATGTGTTTGTCATTGCATCTACTGTTGATTTGTAACGACTATAAATATAACTGTGTTAACAATATTTTCAATTGATGGAAAGTATTATTGGATCATTTTGTAACAAATGCAACGATCTAACGTTAGTAACATAACTGTTAACATCAATTAACAATGGCCCAGTTTGAATGAACTTTAATGTAACTCTTCTGTTGTAACTGTTTCTGTCGATTACACTGTCATGCAAAGTTCATACATGTAACGTTTTAATAACAGCACCGGATTTTCAACGGAAAGCGTATTTCGATATAGTTACACAGTTGTACTCATAAAGGCATATATTCGTTCATTGGTTGTCGCAGTTTCTTCATGTTGTAACACCAATGAGAGGATTTGATGGGGGAAGGGGGGAGGGTATACGTTAATGAGAGAGTAACCCAACGTTACAAATAATCAAAAGACATCAAATATAATGGTAATCTCTGTTAAATTCATTCACAACTTCTTAGAATGGAGGCATTTTTTCCTTTTTACCAATTACAAACTATGATACTAAGAAGGTACCTATTAAAGAACTCCCTATATGGTTTTTGTTGTGCCGTTCAGACCAACGAAAAAAATCTCAAATAGTGCAATAAAATTAGATTTTTGACAAAACTGAGAATATCAGAAAGAGATTTGTACCTATCAAAGTATTAACATCACAGGATCGAAACATGGGCGGTCACGAGTTTTGTCATCTTCATGGAAACCTTATTAAAGCAAATGACATATTCATCAAAGGGGCAGTTTGATTTATATAATTGTTTGAAATAACTGACAACGGTTACATCAAACCACTCATAACATTACAGTCATGACGTCAAATTGATTCAGTATCCAAAAAAACTGTCATTAAGTGTAGGAGAGAATGCATGTCTTTTACATTCCAGTATGCATGTTAAAAAACGAAACTACTGTCAGCAGAAGGGAAAATACAATACATAATAGTTATTTTGGGTGAGGGGAATAGGTACATATAACAATGTGATTTATATGAAGCACGTCGAATATACATGTAACCATCATAAAAAAGACAATGAGCATGTACTCGTTTCAATATATACATACAGTAGACTCAAGTCTGCTCTTTGGTCGGGTAGTTGTCTCTTTGACATATTCCCCATTTCCATTCTCAATTCTATTAAGTACTAGGTTAGAACAATAACTGTTACAGATTGCATCAAATTACTTAGATATATACATAATATGTACATTGTCATTTACGACAAGGAAGAAGATGCATGTTCTATATATCCATTAAGACATGCAAGTCAAGAAAAAAAGGAAAGCCAAGGGTAACATGGATTTTATGAATTAAAACGATGAAACTTTTATTTTTACGAAAACCTTTATCAACTCTGCTTCTATTGATATAAAATTATATGTTATATATTAATATATGAGTCGTTGTTTTCTTATACAAGAACTAAACGAAAGTTCACCTAATTTGTTTGTCCTACAGACTCTCAGTATAAAGCTAGTTTCATGAATTTTAACTACTTTGCTGATCTTATATATTTCTTGGGATGTATATCCCTGTGTGTTTCCCTTAATTTATAAGTAATTTGGCCAATTCGATTAGCAATCAAATTTAACACTTA